AGTGCATCCACGGAATTGTATTCGCTGCAACTGTCGATGATTGCTTGTCCGTTTCGATGGTAAATTGTTACTAACTTATGCCAGGTAGTCAAATCCGCCATCAGCTTGCTTCCAAGCAGTTCTTAAAATGAGGAAACTATGAAAAGTCTCGTCAGTGTGGGATTGCTCTGGTGTTTGCCACCATTCGGATTACTTCTCAGATATATCTGCGCTAGCAACTGTTAAAATGCGACTTGGCTCGGCTTCTGTATTTCCTAAGACTTTGGTACAGAGCTTGTTACTGCGCTAATTTGGGGCACCAGAGCTGTCACAAGTGTTTTTTTCTCAGTGCACTTAGGCAACTTTCCCCGGACGGTGGGTAACGTTGCCGCAATCGTTGGATAATGTAATTTGGTTGAAAGAGGGAACGGCGTGATGCGAGTTTGGATGGCAAGAAAGGGAGGGGAGGGGAGACGGTGTGGTGCAGATTTCGGTCCCAAGCCAGCACTGCATCACCCGGAATCTAGGTCACCCAGCGCCTAGGGTAAAGTTGCCCCAAATTTGCTCCGACTGCTTTTTTAATACCACTAGACCCACAAGCGAGTACATTTTGCAGAAGAACAAGCGTATTTTATGCACCGGGCCGAGCTTCGGTAGTTGTCTGTTAAACCTTGCCCCACCGGTCCCTGTGACTCAAGCCAGCACAGCGCTGCTTCTGTTTCCCATCCACAACCCTCCCGCTTCCCCTCCGCTTCGCCCTTTCCCCTCCCTGCGAAGGGCTACCCAGTGCCGGGAAACGTTACCCGAGCGGCCGGGTAAAGACACACAGAGACAGCTGTGGTGTCTCATTGGTGCGGGGCGAGTGCGTTTTGCAGAGCCGAGCAAGGTCGAATTTTAGCAGTTGCCGAACTTTGCCATTTCGGGTTATCGCGAGGGTATGACGTCATCGGGCGTTGTTGTGGGCGGGGCCTTCTTTTGCTAATGGGTGTCTTGACCGCTCGTCTTCTCATTCGAATGCAACGTGCGTCGGAGGCGGTCGCGTGCTCTACGGTCAAGCTGTGGACTTCCAGCTGCGTGTGTGCGTTTAAAGCAGCGTGCCCCTTTCGTCATTTGTTTCTTTATGTGCTTTTCCTGTGGCAGTTTCTTTGCCGGCTTTTCACGGGTTTTCCGCGTCAAGTGTTTGTCGCTGTGTTTTTCGGAGTGTTCCAGAACTGCTTCTGTTTAAAATTTGCTAAAATTTTTGTGAGTTCTCTTGCAGTTGCGTAAAAAATTTTTTTATGATTCCCCTTTCTTTTTTCGTTATTCTTCAGCGGTATGTTCCTACGCGGATGCAGAAGCCAGGGGGAGGGGGGAGCAGCGGGCTTTTCGGCACAGGTACCAGTGTTACGAGAATCTGGGCGTAAAGTTAAAGTTGAAGTAAAATCTCCCGCATTCCCCGCCCTCCTCCCCCCTCCGCCAGGAGCCTCACTTCTTCCCTCTTCCCCGGCCGTCGTTACACCAGAAGCACCACTCGCCACCCCTCTTCCT